GGAATCAGTAACTGCAGGTCAGTGGTTCTTAACCAGTCATGCGCTAGTCATATGGTTTTTGAAAGATTATTCTTAAAAACAACAACATTCTCATTCATTAAAAAAAATGTGTCTGTAGTATTTGCGAGACAATTCTTAAAATCGAACAATATGAAGCAGTCTAATAAAGAAAAATAGGTAGATGGAATATAATAATAATAATAATAATCTCAGGACAATTCACACAGAGCCATCTAGACTCAAGTTAAGCTAGCTAGAGCTTGTGTTATGGGTACTATATAACTGATACATATACATAGATATATTTTTTTTTGTAAATACATACATATTATACATAGAAAACACCCAGACCGATACAAACAATCATACTCATGAATACAAATGTTTGTGCCGTGCGAGGAATCGAACCCGCGACCATCGGTCGTAAAGCGGTGTGCTTGACCGCCAGACCACCGAGGTCGTCAATATAAGGAATATGCTTTGCAATTATAGAAAACACCTGTAAATTAACGTAAGGCTGCCTTTCTGTTAAAAGTAAGTTCACAAGGCAACTGAGAGTAATGGAATTAATTGTAAAAAGAGATGGGTGACAAGCAAATAATACATATTACTTGTCATAATAAGGTAATGAAGAAGGTATGTAGTATTAAGTATAATTTAATATAACAAAAAATAAGGCAAATTGCCTTGAGAAATTATATGCGCCTTTTCAATTCTTAATTTTCTTTTCTATATTTCTTATTATTCTTATTCAATTTCAATTCTATATTTGCTGTACCATTTAGGTACAGCAAATATAGAATTGAAATAGCATTTGTTTACTATATGTAATCCTTAAATTGTGGGCAGTTGATGTCGAGACATAAATTTTATATAATGGAAATGAATGGTTTTATAATGCTTCTAACATTAAGATCGCCTTTTATATTATATTTCAATTGTCTAATAAAATTATTTAAATAAATAAATTGAGCCTGATTGCTGAAAGGTTAAGAACCACTGCTGTAGATAAATGTAAGCATTCGTATTAACGGCGCTCCGCGTGTGGCGTGGGCCACGAAATAAGCGAGGTCACGCGGAGCGGAAGCGATTTATTGTAAGTGTTAAGACAGTGTGAGATAATGTATTTGTTATTATTACCTGTCCCCAATCTGAGCTAAATTTGCTAAATTTGCTGCATGCGAGGAAGAATATTATAGAAAGTCTGCGAATCATTGGAAGTAAGATGGATTCTACTGAGACCGCGCACCCGTCTTTAGAATGTATATATAGCATACATATTAAAAGACATAGAAATAATATTTTGGAATCTATTAATAAAATAGGTGAAATGGTGGAATAGAAAGCTTATAGATTAAAAAAAAGAAATAATATTTTGGAATGTAATAAAAAAATAGGAAAAATTATGGAATTATAAGCGTATCGCCGTCAGTTTTATGGCCACTCATCATCTCTTTGTACTATCAGTCATGGGATGGATATTGAACATTAGTTCGGACAATCATAGACAGACAGACATCATAGATTTTAACATTATAGCTATTTTTTTAACCCTGAACAATTAACACAGCGCCATCTAGTCCCACGGTAAGCAGAGCTTATGTTATGCGTACTAGACGACTGATATAAATACTTAGAAATATATATTTTTTGTAAATACATACATATAATACATAGAAAACACCCAGACCAATACAAACAATCACCGTGCGAGGAATCGAACCCGCGACTATCGGAAGTTAAGAGATGTGCTAAACCGCTGGACCATCGTGGCCATCAATATTGTGAATCTATACAAATAAAGAAATGCTATAAAAAAACACTGCTCGATTTCTTAATTTTACACACATACTTAAAAATGTGAAACGAAAAGTTGCTTTCGGTACAGACCAAGCTCAAATGAAAGCATGTATAGATTCATACACTCATCAAAAGCGACACTATTTCTTCAAACGTGGCATTGAATATATTGTGAATACTTTCTGTAGATGCATATCACCTGTCCATTCTCTCAAATAGATTACGATCATCAGTATTCATTTAAGAACTTACGACCTTCGGAATGCAATGTTTCTGAGCTCTATTGAATTTGCCGCGAGCAGGATTAGGAATTTATATAATTATAGTGTTTCAGTGAATTCGCAACGAAATTGGTGTACCTACTATACTATATATACTGTAACCGAGAATAGAATAGAAAATAATTTATTCAAATAAACTTAATTTAAGCACTTTTGAATAGTCATATCAATATTTTTCTTAATCTACCGATTATTCGGAAAGCTGTCTCATCACAAGAAGAATAAGCAAGAAACTTGTGTGTTGATCATTTAAACAATCCTTGTTTAAATGATCAACACACAAGTTTCTTGAAGTTCAATTTTATGAAACAACAAAGTATTACAAACAAACATAAAATAATTATAGAATTAATGTTAAAACAATTAAAAAAATAAATTTACAAATTGGTTATTAATGTTAATCAGTCAGTGAGATTTTAATTAAATATTAGGTAATAAAATAAGATAATCACTATAAAACAGTTAGAAAGGCTTAATGAAGAATTAAAGAATTGGACGTCGTCACATTTTCACCAAGCATATCACATGTAATAATACTCTTAGGGATTTATCTCGTTAGTGGGAGAACAATGAGATATTTAAAATTAATGAAATCTTATTGTATATACGAAAGTTTGTAATTATGGATGTTTGTTACTCTTTCACGCAAAAACTACTCAACGGATTTTGATAAAACTTCACAGTAATATAGCTTATACATTATAATAACATATAGGTTATAAATTACATGCGGGTAAAACCGCGGGCGCAGCTAGTATATAATAATAATTGTTTGCAGCCGACCACCACAATCTTTTTTGTGATATTATTATTATTTTTAGAACAGTTCTTTTTCTATGTCATATTTTTTGATATATTTCAATTATACATTGTCGTTCCATAGTTTACAGTTGTATATCTATGTATTTTACTATCATAATCTAAATATTTTCATCATTTAAACACTCATAAAGTCCCCTGACTCGTTACAATAATAATAACCCTGAACAATCCACACAGGGTTATCTGGTATCATAATAGACAAAGCTCTTATTATGGGTACTAGACAACCCGTTCCCCGCGACTATCGGAAAGTACTAGCGGTGCGCTAAACTTTTAGACAACCGAGTCCATCAATATAATCTGTTCGTAGTACAATAATATTTCAATATATAATGTTTTTAATTTAACGCAGTTATTTTTATACGTATAATTCAAAATAACAAACACTGCCGAAATATCGAAAACTTAATAAAAAATAAAACGTCGTAAGATCCCGTGATTTTTACTAATTATACATTATATATAATAATTAAAATGTATATTAAATTGAAGTATTATAATTGTTCAAAATCTACCCTGTATCATCGTAAGCACAGATATTATATTATATTAGAGTCCGTTAGTTTTCTGTTCCCGCGCGTTCCCTTCCCCTCTCTAACTAGTAACAAACGGACCGTACAGCGGCCTTGACGCGCGCGCGCATTGTGTTGTGAATTAAAATAAATTAGAACTGTGTTAAACCTACTGTGAGGCCTGCTGTGAAACTGGAAAGCTAGCGAAGATACCTTCGAGACCCTGAAGCCCAAGAAATCGGCAGAACCATAAAGGTAAATGACTGACGCTTCCTTATTTTTCCCTATATATACATATACAGAGAGTAAATTCCCTAACATTTTGGTAGCAGAGTAGTTTCCCAAACAATAATATAAATATTAATTATTCAAGACAATCCGATCTATCTAGTACAAAATATAGGACAGTATCCAGTTCGCATGACTCCGCTATTCAGGCTAAATGTGATTCCATTTATAACACGGAAGAAGCACTGTCAGTCAGCTATACTACTTTTGAATCTCGATGTTGAAGTTAATTGAATTCGAAATCATTAACTAGAAATTGGGTTAAAATTGGAATCGCGCGCTTTTAGAATTGATAGATAGATAGAGAGAGACACAGTTATATATAGATACTTCAATGTAATACTTCCAATTAATGAAGGCATTTTTTTTGTTTTTTCGGACTACTCTATCTCAATAGCTGTTGGCCGCAGCTGGCCTTTACAGCTTTACCGGACGATGAGGGCGAGTGGTGAGTGAGATGGCACTTAGGACTTATGGAGCGGCTGAAGGCCAACTCCCGCCTGACGGATACGACTTTAGTCTGAGGGCACCGCTAGGGCGAACCCCTAGCGGTGCCCTCCACAACCACGGTTCAGGCCGTCGTAACATCGATCCCCGTTTGAATTGGACGGGGATCGATCGAAGGGGACAAGTAAAACAAATATAAATATTATGTAATACGTTGTTTTTTATTTCCGGAGACAATTTTGACATTACCGATGTTGCCAGCTTTTAGCAATTTTTAAATAAGGTTGTGGCACTATTCGAAATTAACATTAATTACTCATTTTTATAGTTTACTCAGAATTAGTATATATAATTAATAAAGTATAGGTGTTAATAAATATATGTTTGTTGTATGAAATTGCGCATTACTAATAGTACCAATTTTTAACAACTCACCTAAAATGAGAAACAATTTACGCTATTTCTTCACAAAATTATCAACTGAAATTATAAACGTATTATTATTCAGCAAAACTGTTAGAAACATCTAGAAACTTCCTCGACTAATGTCATCATTCTGACGTTTAAATTTAATTCAACTACAAATGCGCGCCAAATTCAAATAATGAATATCAATGACTTTCACGTACATATATATAAGTTTATATATATCAGAGAATTGGGTTCACTCATGAAATACACTTTAAATATAACACCGTAAGGTAGAAAATTATCTATCAACATAATAAAACATCTCTATGTTCTCCCACTCACTCAATTTTGCAATTTACATACAATTTATATAAGACTTTTACAAAAGGTTTACACTAATAAAGGAACACAGTCAATACTTATATTATTTGTACAAAATTTATATACAGCTCTCCTGGACCCTGTGCGAGGTGGTCACCACCTCAGGTCGCAGTCGGTGGGCGGTGAGGGATGAAGTTACCCCCGTTGCGGAACTCGGACTACACGCGTTCACACCCTTGTTCACGCGTCCTAAACTATGGTACGACTGTAACAATGAATAATAATATTTTTTAATTTTTTTTTTAATTTATGCTATAAGGTCCAGATTGTAAATACCTTACATATATATAGTCTAGGATGCGAACTCTGAAACAGGTTGCAGTGCTATAGGTCTAAGCACCAAACAGTAGACCAAACCACACAATAAAAGAATAAAAAATAAATACAACAATATCTTAGGATAATCCACACAGCGTTATCTAGACCCAGGCTAAGCAGAGTTTGTGTTATGGGTACTTAACGACTGATAATACGCACATTTTTTATAAATACATACATAAAACATCCAGACCGATAGATATTTGTTACTTGTTCACGCAAAAATTGCTGAATGGATTTTAATGAAACTTTACAATGACATAGCTTATACATCAAAATAACATATAGGTATAGCTAGTAAAAAAAATTGAGTGTCTTGCCAGTTCTTCTCAATTGAATCTATATACTGAACTGGACGGTAGGGAAAAAATTATAATATAAAAAATTGTTGTATTATGTAGATATAACTATCAAAACGTACAGAAATGTTTTTAAAGAGTTAATTATTGATCGTCACATTTATTGTATATACATTTTTCGTACAGTTATATGTTTAAAAAAAAGACTTATTGTCTGTGTAACGAAAAAAAAAAATATGTTGGTGTACTCTTAGATAAATAAATAAATAATCTCAAGACAATTCACACAGCGCCATCTAGACCCAAATTAAGGTACCTAAAGCTTGTGTTATGGGTACTAGATAACTGATACAAATACATAGATATGTTTTTTCTCGTAAATACATATTATATATAGAAAATACCCAGACCGATACAAACAATCATACTCTTATGTATTGTACTCTGTGTATTGTATTTTGTTTGACTTCACTAATGTAATGTGTATATCTGTTTTATTTTTGTTCTTATTATTACAGTGCCTTTTGTGTGTGTGTGTGTGTGCCTTTAACGTGAATAAAATTTTTATCTATCTATCTATCTATCTACTCGTGAATACAAATGTTTGTGCCGTGCGAGGAATCGAACCCGCGACGATTGCAAGTAAGGCGGTGTGCTAAATCGCTAGACCACCGAGTACTCTTAGACGTATATCTATTTGTATTGATTTTGTTATACTTAAATAAAGAAGAATTAAATTTAAAGGCAATTTGACGTTCATAAGCGGCTAAAATGTATTACATGAATAAATGATTTTTGAATTTGAATAAAGAATATATGTATTTGAAATTGAATAAAGAATAAATGTTTTTGAATTTGAATTTAGAATATATATTGTTTATACTTACACTAGTTAACGGTATCCTATAGTCCTTCTTCCTAAAGTCTGTATAGTAGGCGCCGCCGTCCGGCTCTGAGCGAACTTCATCTCCGCCGATCTTTGTAATTTTACCGGTCGACGGTGGACGCTGCAGGCTCATGTATCCATTTGATACTGGCCTTCGTTCTGTTGAAGAAGAGTATTATATTAGACAACTATCTGCACCCGCGACTTCGTCCGCGTGGAATTTAACTTTGTTTTTCTAAAATAAAAGTAGCCTAAGTTAGTAGTACATCAGCTACTTGGCAATAAAATGTCCCGATAAAATCGGTCCCGTCATTTCAGAGATTAACCGGTACAAACAGACAGACAGTCAGACAAAAATTGTAAAAAATGTTGTTTTGGTATTTATAGTCGTATGCATGTAGTAAAAAACGGTTATTTCCATATTACAAACAGACACTCCAATTGTATTTATACGTATAGATTTATAATAATTTTTGTACCTGTTGAAATAAATTTTCTAAATAAGAACAGATATGAACTTTAAACCTATGAAGCATAAGATATCTTTTTATAAAAATGCTATATATATGATTGTGACGATCCTGCACCTCAACTTATGGGACCAACAATCTTAATAATTTGATGAATTTTCGGGCGAGAGGAACTGCTTGACGAAATTAGGCTCTGGCTCGCGGACTATAGTCTACTTTTTATATCAAAGTTATATCAATCTCAAAGTTTCGTAAGTTTTTTGCTCCTCCTTTTTGTCCTGAACCTGCTTTCCGAATGAGTGTAAAATAAAAAAAAAAGATGACTATTCAAAAGCATAAGAATATTACGTATATTATTATTTGAATAAAGATTATTTGTATTTTTAAAAAAATAACAGAATGTCGCCTTAGAATATATCTTGTTAGAATATTCAATGTCCCAAATGATAGGCAACGATATCGGCTTTGTACTACATTAAAAATAATTTAAAAAGAAGTTTTTATTAATAGCCTCATACATACACACAATTATTATTTAAACACGCAAAAAATACAAGGCATTGTAGTCATTATAAATTCAACTATAAGAGTCAATTTCCAAAGAAGCGTATTAAATTCTTATATACATTTTCTTTCAAAGGAAATTGTAAAGATAGCGTACCTTATTACTGATACATTCACGTTCATAATACCTAATTTGGTAGAAGGAAACGTCTGGTAATGATCCCTCCTATTAAAATTGATATAATACAAGAAAGAACACATTGGCCAAATGTCGTTTATAGAGAATATATCTTTCAATTCTTGGTAATACGAAAACGACTTATTTATGCGGAATATTGTACGAATAACAAACAATAATAATGACTTGAAATAATTTCATATTTTGTTAAAGAAAGATAATAATAATAATAATAATAATGTTATGTACTTGGCTTAGGCCCGTACATACCAAGATTACCGGCGAAAGTCGAGAAAAAATAATATAAAAAAAAAAAATAATAATAATAGTAATAATAATCATTTATTCAGAATAACAAAGAGTAGAGTAGTAAAAAAGAAAACTTAAAAACTAATAATTCGCTATGCTGAAAAGGCTTCCACTCAGCTGGTGCCGCAGCGTGTCACTACATCGCTGATTTTCGAATAAATGATATTTACAAATTTTAATAGAATCAATTATGTCAGCTGTGATGACTATGAACAATATCGGACCTAGAATACATCCTTGCGGAATACCTTTTACAACTTGATCAGATGATGATGTTAAAATGGGAGAATTTGTAGTTGTCAATTGTACTTACATTGATTACAGATACATATGTATATACGCCGCGGTTGATAAGATAAGACAGTGAAAGAGATGGGGCGCCCTAACATCGTCGTCCTCCGGAATAGCAAAGCATAAGAGTTATTAGACAAACTGGCTGTTCCCGCGACATCGTCCGCGTAGAATTTAACTTTATTTTTCTAAAATTAACTTAAATTAAGTAGTCAAAAGAACTAAACATAATTTTGTTCGTCTTAATTTATTCGTTTCATTAGGTACTGATAGGTTCAAACTAATACATTTACATCCTGCATCATACCCTATTTTATCCCCATGGGGGTTGAATTTATCAAAATCCTATTTAATCGTCTTCATCATAGTAGCTCCAATCTTTAATTTCAGTTCAAACAGTCAAAAATCTAAGAAGATTTATACAAATATTCATCCCCTATTTTATCCCCTTAGGGGTGGAATTTATCAAAATCCTGTCTTAGGAGAAGCCTACGTCATAGTAGCTTTATGCATGCAAAGTCTCAGCCCAATCAATGACAATAGGATTAATAATGTTGATACTACATACAATAGGGAAAAAATATATTAAATATAATACAATTAATTATTTTGAAATTTAAAATTTAAATAAAATAAGGTCGAATACGATTTTTGGTTACTTTTACTATAGTTACGCCATTATTGTCCATAAACTGAAGGTCCACGCCCACGTGTTAGTTTAGACAGTAAATAAACTGGTTTATTAAAAAACAAGTAATTCAATTGAGTGTCTTGCCAGTTCTTCTCAATTGGATCTATGTACTTAACTGGACGGTAGGGAAAAATTACAATATAAAAAAAATTACGTTCATAAGCGGCTAAAATGTCCTACATGAATAAATGATTTTTGAATTTGAATTTGGATTTAAACTCACCATACAGACAAGGTATGATATCGGGGTCTGCATCATCAGCATCCCTGGGGTCAGGCGCGTGCAGTAACGCACCCCGGGCACCGACTCTCTCTCTAGGTTCAGTGCTGCTAGACCTGGACTCTATCTCTTGTTTCACCGGAGTTGGACACTGGCCGGTTCTCTCCACGTACACAGCTTCACTGGATGAGATAGTAGAGATGAATAGAGAAGTATATTTAAATGCTACAGGACACTACATAATTATAATAATATATACATACTAGCTTTTGCCCGCGGCTTCGCTCGGGTTAATTTATCCCCTTAGGGGTGGAATTTATCAAAATCCTTTTGTTTAGAGGATGCCTACGTTGTAGTACCTTTATGCATGCAAAGTCTCAGCCCGATCGGTTTAAAATTAACAAAGTTTCATACGAACTTTCATCCCATCATTTTCATACAGAAATATATAACCATTGGCTGCGCCCGCAACGACGATACTTCCATATAACCTTTCATATCACATTTCAACCCCTGGCAACCCTTTTTTCGCATTAAAAAGTAGCCTATGTCCTTTGTCGGGGTCTAGACTATCTGTGTACCAAATTTCATTTAAATCGGTTCAGTGGTTTCGGCGTGAAAGTGAGACAGACAAACATAATATTAGTAAGGATTACAAAATTACTTATACATATTATTATAGTTTATTTGAATAAATATTATTTATATTTCCCTATTCTTTTACTAAAAAACTGCATAATGAATTTGAAAATTAGTATATAAATTTATCCAGATTTACATGAACAGTCTCGCGAGATAACGTAATCAATTCTTACCTCAAAGGAGCGTGTTTTGCAGGCAAATGTCTGTGCCTATTCGAATGCCGTTTGTATAGCACGGCCAGTACACCACAAACAGCTGTTGCCAGCAATGCTGACATCGCTGCTATGGATACTAGCACTGGTGACATCCCGAGGGTACTGCTCTCTCCTGTACCAAATTAGAATTTATATAAATATCTAGCTATATCCGCGATTTCGTCCGGATGGAATTTAACTTTATTTTTCTAAAATAAAAGTAGCCTAAGTTACTCCTTATTACATCAGCTACCTGCCAAAAAAAGTCCTGTCAAAATCGGTTCAGCCATTTCAGAGATTAGCCGGAACAAACAGACAGACAGACAAAAATTGTAAAAAAATATATTTTGGTGTATGTACCGTATTTATATTCATACGAGAAAAAAACGATTATTTCAATATTACAAACAGACACTCCAATTTTATTTATAGATAATAATGCAAACAAAAATTATTAAATATACAGTCGTCCCCCATATAACAAAGGACTACTATATTATAACGTGTTGTCATACAACACGATATCACCTCGTATAACACGAGGATACCCCACGTATGTATAAATATTTTTTATTTTATATGTTGTTAGTTTAATTTTAATAAACATACATATATCGTTCATAAGTACTTTAAAGAGAAAAAGAAAACGTGAATTATTTTCACATATATAACGCGTTATATAAAGTCATTCCAGTGCGTTATATGACTCATACAACGCCATGTTCTATAAAAAGAAACTCATACACCTCATTGTGGGAGATATTACTGTATTAAATATTATATATATAAGGTTTGTACTATGGATATTAAAATAAATTATACACTTTTAAAAAGAAAACACATATTAATATGTATATATATATATACATCTGTTAGAATTTCTGAAATACCTTTATATAACACATATGCAAAACATCGAAACAAGACCTCTCAATAAAAATAAAAGAATATGAAAAAATAAGTCACTTGTGTGCGACTATTAAGACTAAAGTATTGGTTTATAAAACCACAAAAGCTAAACGATACAAAAAAAATGGCAATGGTGAAATAGGAAGAGGTCGAAAGCCTATATCCTTAAATGGATACCCAAATAAAAGAGAGAAATGGATTGAAATGTAATACTAATAAATATTGCATGGTAATAATAAGTTAACTAAAATATATAAATAAAGTTTTTTTAAGAATATACACAGAGTAATTCTAATAAACGATTATTTCGGTTAACATTTACGCTTTCCAAAGAACAATCATGTAAATGTTCAAACAAACAAACGTCCGGTACATATACCAACTTATTTGAACCACACTGAACATTGCTTATCAGACAATGCAAACATAAACTGTACAATTTTATTCCAATCAGTATAGTCGATGTGCAAGTGTAATAAAGAGCTCAGTTCACAAGCAGTTATTATAATATTGAAAGCTGCAAACATCAACGGAAACCTGCATTCACAAAGAGAAAGAACATTCGTGGTAACTACTATAACGTATAACAGTTAGGTCACGCAACCTAAATTAACCTCACTCCTGCTTGTTTTAGCCGTTTCGTGGAATAGATGCAATTTTTGATACCAAATCATATTTACAATGGTGAATTATGAGCGCAAAGCTCGAACACTGAATCATTCGGATTAGATTTCCCGACTGATTCTAGTTCTGTTTGTTTAAGTTCCTGCAAATACAGAACTACATAATTACGGGGCTAAGCAAACACCAGATCAAATTATGGCTCGGATACGAAATTACTGTTCACTTATTTATTTTATTTTGTATGGTTTTGTATAGTGTAGGCTCCTTCGGTGTCAAAACCCTTGGTCCGTGGGGTTCTAGCGCTATAAGACTTTTTAAGGAAATAGCAAAAAGGTTAGTCGACGTCACAGAAGCAGTTACCTCGGACAAAGAATTAGTTTAGCTATCCAAAGTGGGAACGCTGCTAGTATCTTCGGAACCTTGTCTAAGTTACCGTTAGTTAAAGTAGTTAAAAGGGACACCTTTTAGTAATATATTTTAGTTATTATATTTTTTAAGGTTTCTAGTCTTAGGTTCATTGTCCTAGTATATATAAACAAAGTATACCTAGTATTGTATATATAAACGGCGTGTCACGTTATTTGTCCGCGATAGACTGAACTACTGAACCGATTGCAAATTTTATTTGCACATTGTGTGCAATTTGATCCAACTTGAATGTAGGATAGCTTACATCTCAATTTATAGCCGCAATATTATTTCATTCAAGAACCTTAGCCACAGCAACGCGTGGCCGGGTCTGCTAGTTGGATGTAAATTAAAATATATTTTGTATGTTAAATTAAACACACGTGAATAGAAACGATTTGTAATTTGATTGATTCCGTAGAAATGTACGATTGTGGTGTGTACACAAAAACATGGTATGTAGGTCATCGGTAATATTTATAATGGGACTAAATTCTCGGTTGAAGTAGAGCATATAAAGGAAATAACGATTTCCGTATACGTATGTACACATACCATTATACACAATCCACTTTATAAATGATCGAAAATTCATAAATTTGACAGCCTCGGTGGTCTAGCAGTTGAACACTTCGCTTTATTTTCGAGGGCCGTGGGTATGATTCCTCGTACGGTACAAGACGGTTTTCTAAGTTATTGAAATTCCAAAACTTATTATTAAATTTTACCTACACACCCCAGTGTCTCCATTAACGTCTTCGATTAAACAAAACAAAAATTCATTTTTGTGGCTTCCGTAATATTCAAATATTTATGGTATTAAAATATAAACCAACTATTTTTTTCTTTCAAACAACAACTTTGATATAACAATCCTATATTTATTCATATCTATACCATTTTAAAATTGTGTTAATACATTTTATTTAAACACCCACATATTGTTTTTGAGTAACCTATAAAAATCGCTAATTAATATTAATTTTCATTAATAACCCAACACTGTTTAAGAATCGCAAAAAACTGGCTACATAGGTAATGTCATAATTGTCTGAGATAATAAAACAGACTACGTCGTTAGAGGAAATAAATAGCCCTTGTTCAATAATAGGTAATCATAGATGGATGTAATGAAATAATTAATATTTTATGAGAGTACTTGTAAATATGTTGTAATATAGTAGAATTAGTTTATGTCGACGATGTCTGTCATCATAAGACAATTAGCATCCCCTTTACTAATAGCAGGCCTTACATTATTTATGACAATACTTAAAAGTTAATTCTTTAATTACCTACATTAGGAATTCTATTCCATCTAATTGAAGATATTAAACAAAAGAGAACTGAAATATTGAACAAATTTGCTGTTACTATTGTTTTTCATATTATCGACATATGTTTTAAAATAGATAAGTAAAGTAAGAAAGAAGAAATAGAGGAAGAATTCAAATACAACCGACTTAGAAAGTTATGCATAAATTCAAAAGAATTATATTTGAGAAATGGAAATTCCAGTATATCTCATTCTAAGGGCATTTGGTACAGACACTACAGAAACGAACGTTCTTAGAACTTAGATCTTAGAAGAACGTTCTTACATTGTAAAAATGTCATTAATGGATATTATCCATCGGCAAAGTTTGTATATGAAAAAAAGCAATTCACAAAATTGTGAAGTATGTAGTATAATAGAGGATGTATATCATTTACAGATGGAGTGAGTCAGGAACATGAGTGTATGACATAGAATAACGTCAGACAATGGAATAAATATATTAGATGTTGTTGCCATCAAACTGTTTTAGCCGATCCTTCAGACAGTGCGGCTAAGGCAATTTGTTCCCTAGTAATTAGTTTTAGGGTACAATGGGTATAACTAATTGTTATTACGTTTTCGAAAATGAAAAACTTTATTGCTGTTAAAATATTATTTGTAAATTACTTCAAACAAATACATATCGTATTCTTAAACATATTTTTTTAAAATCAACTTCATTTATCTGATCTAAATACAGAACCTAATAGAGTTAATAAAATCAGACCTAATAATTAGACTCGTGAGACTATTTCGATACCTTCTACCAATTTCGGCAAATATTGGCGTAGGGTCTTGGAAATAGGTAAGATCTTAGTCCAGGAATGGACAAGACCAGAAGTATAATTCAATAAATTTTCTTACAGAGGTTAAAATGATTTACTATGTTGTAAACATAAGGTAGTATGAGGCGCACGAATGGAATAAAATATAAATGACAAGAGTATTTATTGATAGACAAACAAACTTATCTTTTAAAGCGATAGACGGGTAAGTTCTATTTATTATATTCAGTCGCTATGAAAGAAGTAAATAAAATTACAAGACTAAGTATATACAATAATCTCAACGCTGAATACAATGTTCTTGAAATAGCTATGGACAAGAGAAAAGATTATGAGACTGGTAAACATTGAAATAATGAAAAACATAAGAAAGGTATAAAACAAATAAGTATTTTGATAGAAGCTAACGAATCATCACAGAATTACGTTCATAATAAAAACACAAATTGCTACACAAAGAGCCACTTAAACAAGTACGGTTGTATTTCAAGGAAATAAAGTCAAAGCTGGGTGATTTATAATTTTATGCTTTTTATATAATATCAAGTTTCGCAAAATTAAGTCGTTCATGCAGTTGGCGTGACTATTTCGAGCGGTTTTATTGGTAAGTATTTCGAGTAAGAATAAAATCGAGGGTAACAAAACGAAAAGTTGGCAATAAATGGTTGACTCAGTACGCGAGAAATGGGCTTAATTATAATTTACATAAGCTTTAACAACAAGAAATTGACGTGCAGCAGAAATTTAAAATTATAGATTCATGCATAAATGTAAATGATAGACATAAAACTGTGTAACTATCTGAGTTTTTTTACAGAACTATTCTAATGCTATTGGCCGCAAATGGTCTTTACAGCTTCACCGAATGATAAGAGACGAGTGTCAGTGTAGATGGCACTCTAAATCCGCGAAAGAACTTATGGAGTGGCTGAAGGTCAACTCCTGCTTATCGACTTTTGTCTCAGGACATTTCTAATTTCTATTCTATACGTTTATCGTATATTCAAGTATATTATTAATTATATATTAGCAATCATATCTGATGAAAAGTAATTGACTGTTTGCAGATAGACAAGGAAAAAACAGAAAAAGTTAAAGTATCAAGACTGTTCGATTCTAGTAACTAAATATATAAATAAATTATTACCAGTAAACTTGGCCTGCCCTTTGAGAGTGACTGTTTCAATAGTAGATACATCGCTGCGCCCTTTAGCGTTCACTGCATAAAGGTCGATACGATAGCTGACGCCTGGTGGAAGACCTCGGATCTCGAAGTACGGTGGAGTCTTGTTCGTGTAAATGTTGTAACGGACCTAAAGGAATTAAAAGTGTTTAATATATCGACGGCCTTGATAGTCTAGCGGTTTAGCATACCACTTAAATTCTGATGGTCGCGAGTTCATTTCCTCGCACGATATGAACATTTGAGTTGACCAATTAATAGGCAACACATTCTCTCAAAGAATAAAAGCACAATATTGAACAAGTAAATACAAGTAAAACTTTAGATTTATACAATTTTTGGTTCTCAAACTGCTTTAAACGAAGTTTTTCTGCAGCAACATTTTAATGTAGCAGCTTAACTTACGGTCAACGAGGGAAGTTCAAGCAACTCCATCAGAAAAGTTTGAGGTAGACCACCATCGAAATTTTCTACACACTCCACGTATAATGAGTCGATACTCTGATTTGCAACTGTACAATTTTGTAGATGAAACGGACGACCTGAAAGAAAACAAAATATAATTATAATAATAATAATAATCTTAGGACAATTCACACAGCGCCATCTAGACCCAAGTTAAGCTTGTGTTATGGGTACTAGATAACTGATACATATATATATAGAAAACACCCAGACTGATACAAACAATTATACTCATAAATACAAATTGTTTGTGCCGTGCAAGGAATCGAACCCGTGATCATCGGTCGTAAAGTGGTGTTCTAGACCGCTAGACCGTCAATGCCGAGGTCGTTAATTATATTTATAGAATAGAGCAGATAAACTTAAGACATTTTGAATAGTCAAATTTGACAGATCAGTATCTATAAGCAACAGTTGTTTGCCACTATGATGAGCAATCCATAATTACGCTCTACTATATTTTAGGGAGACCAATGGTTTGGACCCTCTAAAAAAACGAGCCCTTATTGTTAAAGAGCCCTATGACCCGGACCCTGTAGCATCACTTGCAGGATAGAGATAGAAATTTGGGCCGCTGCTAATAAAGAATTCTGTTATATTAACTATTGCACTTGCATAAGATATTCCTATTAGATCTACATGCGAGATTTCACCAATTATTTTGATAATGACCCCCCCAAATTTCCTCCAAGTCAATCTCCTGTCCGATTCCGGAGGGGGATCAAAACTATAACACCCTGAGTCGAGAACCCAAATTGGTGCACTCAGATTAATATAGTATTTTTACAAGTAGGAATTCACTTTTAGCCGTATGCAAATTTTTTGCTTCTCCTGGTTTTAGGCCAGCTACAGCCAGCATAAAAAAACATTCGAAAAATGTCCGTGATAATAACAATGCTTTATCAGTATTCTTTATACCAGCATTATACTTTAATATCGTATCTCCTTTATCATTTTTAAATATAAATATTGTTTGCGTGATTCAATTTAATAACTCGTCTTAGCCGCCTGCTGGTTCCAGAGTCTTCACTGCGCTTCAGACAGTGCTATTACTAGGTTATTGTAAATAAAAATATATAAAGCGACGAGTTACGTGCAAGATGCGCTCTTTTATGCAAAATATGTAAACAAAAAGAACATCGTGATTTAAGAATTTACTATAATAAAGGTTGCGAATTCGAATCTGACAAGGCTGACACAAAAAAAAATAGTGATTCATTTATTTTGTTATTGTCTAATTTTTATATTTACTTAGTATAGCACAGTTTTAACTTTACTGCTATCGTTGTCGTTGATTTTTTATTACAATTATTTAAAAACTATAACAAGCAACCTATAAATAGCAGAGAGGGTGGACTCACTGCTCCCTCTGAGTTATAGCGCGTTCTGTCTTGATTAATATCTCTTAATATTATTATAAGCATCAACTGTAATAGTTTCTGTTGTAATAATTTATTTAAGACAAATGAACATTATTATTATTTTGGGTTTTTATTATTGTTATATATAAAATAATTACAAATTTTCTTACCAGCAGCAACCAGTTGGAATAAACATGGCACCTTCTGCTGTCCAACAGTATTAGCACCGTAACAAGCTAAGGTTCCGTACTCCATATCTGTGGTTGGTGTGTAATTAAGTGTGGATGTATGTCCGTGACTGTTGTATAACCTGTTGAGACATGTTTTATTATTAACATTTAAGGCTGCATGTTTCCCAACCTTTTCTATCCAAAGTTTTCTACAATAACTAAATATGCTCGATGAAACTTTGTCCCTAGAATAAGCAACTAATGGAGGGAAATTGAGTAATGCGGACTGACTGACAACCACGCGGTTCCCTCTAGAATCCATCATGACAAATTCTTGGAGAATTTGTCAAGGTTGGCTAACTGACCTGACTTCATACACATTTTATCATCATCCACTAGTACTCCGCCAGCGTAACCCATTATGCAATGTACTAAGTCAGGTTGACATCCACGCGGTTCCCTCTAGAATCCATCATGACAAATTCTTGGAGAATTTGTCAAGGTTGGCTAACTGATCTGACTTCATACACATTTTATCATCATCCACTAGTGCTCCGCCAGCGTAACCCATGGATGATAATGGAATGGTTCACCCAGGTGGGTGAACCATTCCATTATCATCCACAAGGAATAAGGCAACTAATATCAACGTTTCGCACTAGTCAGATTTTCTTTAAGCAAGACTGTTTTAGAATTATACGTAGTGACGTGAAAAACTCGATTTTCACCAGTAAAAGGACCTATATTCAGGTAATTTGTATGGACAATCTAAAACATTATAAAAAATTAATATTAACAAATATTATTTTAATGTAACTATTCTCTTTTACTTATAATGCAAATAAAACCATATTCCATCTGTATCTAAGACTCAACTTACTTTGGCGGGATTTCCGTTTGTTCTCCAGAATTGTTAAAAGTCCAATGAAAAGACACAAGTGCGGGATTGGCATCAACTGAACAGTGGAGTGACACAGTTTCATGTTTCAGTGCCCCGAACAACTCGCCGTCTCTTCGTTCCGCACATATCGGTGCATCTAAATAGAAGCAAAATAGAATTTATATTAATGACTATACGGCTCATAATCGAGATGATACATATTGTTGAATAAATAAACTATACACATTACATAAACGATATATTCACCATGACAATATTAAAAACAAAAATCTTTACTCAGGTTGCAGACAATAATATATGACAAGTGTAATCTTATGTCTGTATATGTATATAGTATATAGTAAAATATCCCCTAATTTAATACGTAAGTTTATTTTCTTTTAAATTTTAAGGACTTTTGTACAAACTAAAAGTACATGCCAGTCCTCATTGTATCCTAAAACTAATTACTACATCACCTCACTAGTGAGCTTTTTTCTCTCTGGCAACACTGCCGATAACAGTCTTTGTCAGTTGGCTCTTATTTATTTATTGTTTTTAATTTATTACTTGTGAAATAACGATACTAGTGTATATAATCAGTGAGTTTTGGGCATAAGTAACGTCGATTATTGTTGGTGTGCAAATCTGTGATTTCTTTGTGACAAAAATCTACGTTACAAAATTTGTGGGACCGCCAACTGTCAAAGTATTGGTAATTTACAATAGAAGTCTTGGATTTCTATTGACTCCTTTAATAATTAAATACAGTTATTACACTTCACTATTACTATATCCGTTTACAAATAAACAATAATATTAAAGTTAAATATTCGATAGTGAAGATCGGTTGTTGTTGTTGAGAGGAAAAAAAAAACTACCACTAACATAAAATATTATTGTTATTGCAATACAGCTCATAAAATTTATTTATTATCATATTGATAATATATTCCAAATAGCTGTGCGAAACTAAACTTATGTATTTGATTAAATAACAATACAATATTAGTAATCCATAGCCATTGCTAGATATCATATGACAAATTAAGACATATTTACTGTAGTGGTAATATATAAGATTAATTATTTTTTTGTAACAGTATTGGTATTTAAAGTTTTTACTAACAATATTTATTTATTTATTTATTATTAAATTATTTTATTGAAGGGAAATAGCGCACTTTCAACACTGTATTTCTTCTATTGAATAATATTCATTGTTGTCTTGTTTCGTAGATATTTAACATAATAATTAAAAATGATGTCCCGCAGAGCATGTGATCTTGATGCTAAGCTCAAGGTATAGAGTTAAAAAATCCAATGAATTAAATAAGGCCTTATTACAGGAACGAGATGAAAGTGAGATTGAAATTAAGTTGATGTCTGATAAATATGTGGCTCTGAAGAATGACCTAGTGAAGATCAGTACAGACTTTGAAGTTCTACATATCGAAAATGAAAAACTTCAAGAAATTGTAAATAAATATGATCTGTGCAGAGACACATATGAGTCAGCATTGCAGAAAATCACTCATCTAGAGCGGCACCTTGAGGAAGTTCAATCACAAAATAAATCTTTGTTGGATCACAGGCGGTTGAGTAGTTATAACGAGACCATGGATCTGTATACAGAAATGTTAAATACTACTAGTGATCAAACATCTGCTCTGCCCCTTGTGACCATAGATTTGACAAATACACCAAGCTCCTATAGTCCTAATAAAGTACCTATTAATAGTAGTAAGAAGTTAAAAAAATATGTAAAATTAAATAAATTTATTCGAAAATCAGAAAATTTAGTGAAAAGTCATAAAAAGTGTTTAAAATCAATTATTACTAGGAAGCAAAAAATTGACTTATCAATAGAATTAAATAATTGTAAAGAAAAAATATATAACAAAGATTTAAAAATAGATGAATTATCACAAAAAATTAAACTATTAGAGAACTCGTTGTCCAATTTATCTTTGAAATACGAATCAGCTAAGAATGAAATACATGAATATTCTGATCAGTTGGATAATTTAATAAAATTAGGTAACTACAACATGGAGCGGTTTGTTTCTCTTACGGATAGATGTCACTGTAATTCACCAGAGTCTGATAACTATATCCAACCGTCCCACCATAATCAGTTGAACATTGATATCTCATCCGTCACGGAACCAGACGTTTCATGTTTACCCACACGAAACAGTACAAAAGTAAATAAATGCAGCACTGTACATGAAACCATCAGGAGAACAATTATTTATTCAGATGAATTTGGCAAGGATTTAGGTAGTTTATTATCGAACTGTCTCTCGCAACAAGTAATAAATAATTGTTTTCCGGGATCAGGTATATATCAGATTATAAGAAATATAGTAAATGAAAAATATGATATTCACACGACCCTAGTAATAGCGTTAGGGAATTGTTTGCATATGCGTAAATCTGATATAGTTAATTTAATAAAATCATTATATAATATAGTGGAGCTTGGTATAGGTAAAATATTATTATGCGCATTTCCCTACTCTCAATCCCTGACTAATGAACAGAATAAGTTCATTTATAGTATAAATAATTTAATTTATTCGATGACATATCATTGTAATGATATATTTTATTTTGAAAGTAACAAATTTGTTACAAATTATTATATGACGGGAGGTAATTTTTATCTTCCTAAAAAACAAAAAAAGACTATTGCTAGTTTACTAGCGTATAACATTTATGATCCCATTATAAGTAGTATAACGGATTTAATTAGTAATATTAGTAATAATACTAATAATGTGACATGTGTTAATTTAAACTAACATCTACGACATTGGTTAAGCCACAGGATATGGTCATTATTCATCAAAATATTCGTGGCTTCTCCAGCAAAGAATTAGAATTAAGTCTATTCTTAGAATCTAACAATGTACGGGTGTTATGTCTGACAGAACATTGGCTTAAACAATATGAAATAATTTGTCCTTTTGAACATTATAATATAGCTAGTTTTTTTGCTAGGAACAATGCCATTCATGGCGGGTCAATTATTATTTTAAAAAATGATGTAGAATATAAAAACCGTCAAGACATTGTAAATATTTCTATTGAGCAAACAATTGAACTATCTTGCGTAGAATTAGTTACTTGTATAATAATTTGCGTTTATCGTCCGCCATCGGCTTGTTTTGATTCTTTTGAACTGGCTATGGAGGAAGCATTGAGACGAGTCGCACGGAGGAATAAAACATTATTTGTATGTGGCGATTTTAATGTTGATTTATTATCGGAATGCTCAATAAGCTTAAGATTGATTAACTTATTTAAATCATTTAATTTGCACAATCTTTTTTTAGAACCCACTAGGGTCGCAGGAAATTCTGCCACTTGTATAGATAATGTTTTTTGTAATTGTGAAGTAAAGGTGAAAATGAATTTCGACTGTCTTGGATCTGATCATTATGGACAAAAAGTTATAATTGAAACTAAGGGATCCAAAGGGACTCAAACAATTACATGCAGACAAATAACACAAAAGAATTTGGCACGTTTTAAAAATAAAATTGAACATAAAATATCTAGTGTTATAGTACCTCAATATGACCCGGACATTGTATGTGAACATATTTTTAATTTAATTGAACATGAAGCTAGCAGTGAATTTAAAACAAAAACCTTTTCAACTAGTGTAAAATCAAAGTTTTGTGACTGGGCCACGTTTGGTATTTATAAGTCTAGGGCTAATCTTTACGAACTTTACGAAAAACGAAGCTATATATCCGATCCCTTATTTCATGAACATGTAAAATCTTATTCGAAAATATTTAAAAAGGTTTGTAATACAGCTAAGTCTCTCTATTTAGGTAAAATAATAACTAAATCTAAAGATAAAATAAAAGCCACTTGGAAAGTAATAAATAGCGAAACTGGAAAAGTTAATTTTCAAAATAGTAAAATAGCTTTAAATATTAATAACAAATTGGTAAATTCCGACACAGAGGTCGCGGATACATTCGAATCTTATTTCACTAATATTCCATTAATTACGACACAGGCTCTAAAATCTTCCCCGTCTGCTGCTGAAACTTTACTAACAGACAATGTTAGCAAGTCATCAGCTGTATTTAACTTTAGACATACATCATCAGTAGAAATAATGAAAATATTCAAACAGCTTAATAATAAAAAAACAGAGGATCTATGGGGTATATCTGTTAAAATACTAGATAGTATAATGGAAATTATTGCGCCCTCTCTTGCTTTTATTTTCAATAAATGTATAGATGAAGGTAAATTTCCTAACATAATGAAAATTAGTAAAATTATACCGCTTTTTAAATCTGGAGATAAGAGTGACCCAATAAATTATAGACCTATATCTATACTCCCAGCACTCAGTAAAATTTTTGAAAAAATAATCCTTATGCAGCTTGTCAGTTATTTCAATTTAAATAATTTAATCCACAATAGTCAATTCGGTTTTTCCAAAGGTCGTTCAACTACAGACGCAGGTGCAGAGTTGCTTAGACACGTATTTGCTGCATGGGAAACTAAAATGGATGCGATAGGTGTTTTTTGTGACCTTTCTAAGGCTTTTGATTGCGTTGATCATAATACATTGCTAAAAAAACTTGCTTTTTATGGCGTCAAAGACAATGCTTTAAATTTAATAAAATCTTATCTATCTGATAGAATACAGAAAGTGAAGGTTAGCAACGCTACGTCTGACGGGTCACTTGTGCAAATGGGTGTACCTCAAGGATCTATTCTCGGTCCATTTTTATTCCTAGTTTACATTAATGATCTCCCATATGCCATGCAGGATAGATGCGGCATAGTATTATTTGCAGACGATACTTCATTGATTTTTAAAGTTAATAGAATGACTAATAATTATGACGATGTAAATAGTGCTTTGCGGCGTCTCCTGCACTGGTTTACAACTAACAATCTTATGTTAAACGCTAAAAAAACAAAATGTGTTAATTTCTCTCTGTCTAAAAGTTTTAATACTAATTGCAATATTAAATTAAATGACGAATCTCTGGAATTTATAGAATCTACTGTCTTTCTAGGAATCACACTAGATAATAAAACACAATGGGGTGCACAAATTCAAAGCCTTGCAGCGAAACTAAGTTCAGCAGCTTTTGCCGTGCGTAAGGTTAGACAGTACACTGATACTGATACTGCTAGATTAGTCTATTTTAGTTATTTTCATAGTTTACTCTCTTATGGAATATTACTATGGGGAAAAGCGGCAGATATTAAAAATATATTCATATTACAAAAACGTGCCGTTCGAGCGATCTACTGTATGAAGAGTCGTGACTCATTAAGAGAGAAATTCAAAGAGGCAAATATTCTCACCGTTGCTTCTCAATTTATATATTCAAATATCCTATATGTTCATAAAAATCTTGACTTATTTCCAAAAAACAGCAACATTCATAATATTAATACAAGATTTAAAGACAAACTTGCTGTCCCCAAGTATCGTTTAGAAAAAGTTAATAGGTCTTTTATGGGAATAGGTATAAAAATTTACAATAAGATACCAAAGGATATGTTGGAATTACCCTTAAATAAATTCAAAACATCTGTTAAATCATATTTACTGAGCAAAGCCTATTACTCACTAAACGATTACTTGAATGACGAGTGTGCATGGCAATAGTTGTTCATGCACTGAATTTTCATTTAATGTTAGACATAGACACCTATATAAATATACATTGTAAATAAACTGGCTTTAAAAAAAAAAAGTAATTCAATTGAGTTTCTTGCCAGTTCTTCTCAATTGGATCTATATACCGAACTGGACGGTAGGGAAAAAAATAAAATTATAATGTAAAAATTTGACGTTCATAAGCGGCTAAAATGTCCTACATGAATAAATGATTTTTGAATTTGAATTTGAATTTGAATTTGAGCAAATTGCCTTAGCATCGCTTTCTGAGGGATCAGTTAAAACACTTTGTATGACACCAACATCCAGATATTTATTTTATGGATTGACGTTATTCTATATCGTAGACTCTCGTTCATGACACACCCAATCAGCAAATGATATACATCATCTCAAAACAAATCAAATTCCAATCTTACATGACAAAGACAATAAACAAAATAAGATAAAACTGAGGCGGCCATGCCTTATCATGATTCATCGTATAATTTTGGTATACTTCTGGTCATTTGGGCTAATATAATTTAATTAAGCTTTTAAATTGCTTTACCTCAGCAATGAAGGCTATTTGGTTATTTATTATTCAAGAGCTCCCGATATTTCATAGAAAATATCCTATTTATATAGTCTGTATAATTATACAAATTCCCAATTGGGAACAACCGAAAAGATTTTACAGTTATTATTAGAATCTGAGCTAAAAATTAGTCCTGGTTTTATTTTAATCATTTATTGTAGGATTATACAAATTCTCAATTGGGAACGGAAACTGTTTATTAGACTCTGGGCAAAAGATTAACATTTTATTATAATCGATTTATCAATAAAAAAGTTTTACGAAATTGGGGGCTTAGCTAGAAAATACATAAGTAATAATAATCTCAGGACAATTCACACAACACCATCTAGACCCAAATTAAGCTAGCTAAAGCTTGTGTTATGGGTACTAGATAACTGATACATATACATAATTTTTAAATAAGTACGTATTATACATAGAAAACACCCAGACCGATACAAACAATCATACAATGCAATACAAATGTTTGTGCCGTGCGAGAAATCGAACCCGCGACCATCGATCGTTAGACCACCGAGGGTAAAACCATGAATCATGTCCAGATTAATGCAAAATATACTAAAAAGACAAAGGGTTTACGTGATTCCAATGTAATATCTATTTTTAAACGTCCACAAACAGCGGTAGATGTGCTCTTAAAAGTAATAGCATCATTAGAACGCTAGCACCCAATCTTTGTCTAACAACGCAGCTAACTGGAGGTCGTTATAAAACTGCAACGGAACAAAACTCGCAAAGATTTAATGACAAAGAGGGTCAAACTCCGAGAATAATAGAAGAAACTATCAAACTTTAAAGAAGATTGATATCCTACCAAGTTTCACATGAAATCTGGTCTTTAGAGGCAAAGTTGCCCGGAAGTTAATTACGTGAAGCGTTGCCTAATAAGAAAATTAATTTCCTTAAGGACCAAGCGGCACAGGTATATTACACGTTTTCGTATTTTTCTGTGTAAATAATAGCACAAAATCTTACATACACGTTAATATCAAAATTTTGGATTTTTTTAAGTTTTAATATAATAAAAAAAATAACCCAGAACAATTCACATAGTTATATAATTCCAAGCTAAGCAAAGAAAGCAAAGACAACTGATAAAAATACTTTAATACATTTATGTGAATACATACATAATATACATAGCAAAAATACAAACAATAATACTCATGAATACAAATGTTTACATTCTGCAGGGATCGGTCAGAACCTGCGACCAGTAACCTGTACAAGTAAAAAAATTGCATATTATTCTATTATATTACTGTAGCTACAGTTTTTGATACCTCTTGTTCTCCAGAGCCCTATATGCTAAATCATAACTTAGTCAACGAATAAAAATTAGAAATAAATTCACTTACATCTTACAAGCAGTGTGACGGGGTTACTCGTGCCTTTTCCTTCGCTGTTTGCAGCCATACAAGTATAATCTCCAGCCGCTGCTCTAGTCACACTTTGTAATACCAAACTTTGAGCACTGAGAATAATGCCAGCAGCCTCGTTGTGGTAGATTTCTGAATTCTATTAAGAGAAAATCAATGTGTGAAGATTTTAAGATGCAACTATATTTAGTACTATAGTTAGTTCTATTGGTAGCCTACGTAAATTTTATAGAAAAACAAATAAAATGTATAAGATTTGTCGCAATATGGATGTAGACTCAATGAAGATCGTAATTTGATCACCTATAGGAGAAGATCGTAATGCTTCTAGTAACTGCCAGTTTCCGCAATAAATATTTGTGGTCTCACACATTGCTAATAGCAGCAGAAACAAAATAATATAAATCTATGAAGTAAATAATGGACGGCCGCAAAATAACACCTAATTCGTTAAAATATAAGACGAATGTATCTACAAATCATGTCTAAAACTGGAAGAAACCAATATTATTTTATCTTACCGTCAACACAAAAATATACATACATTATATATTATTAAATGACCGCACAGTACAATTTTCAACGTCATGAGCGTTACCATAAACATTGTAGCACTCATCCTCGTAAGCGGTGCCTTTTTTTCGAACTATTGTAATGCTGTTGGCCGCAGCTGGCCTTTACGGCATCACCGGACGATGGGGGGCGAGTATAGACGGTACTCCAAACCCTCGGAAGGCTTATGAAGCGGCTGAAGGCCAACTCCTTCCTGACGATATGACTTTTGACGTTTGTACATACTGTAACAGTCGTCACTTATGTATGGACGCTACGGTTACAAATTTTTATCTAATGCACTATTACCTTTTTCTTCATTATAATTTCAATAAACTGTCGTTTATGCGAACGATATATTGGAAATCTTTCTCTTTAGATTGCTTAAAAAAAGATTTTGAAGAAAAACTATAATCACGCCGAAATGTCAAATTTATTTGAAGAGAAGCATGAGTTATTTATAAACTGTAAAGGTACCTTTCGTTTTCATATTTATGAAAGTTTCTAAGTAGTTTATGAAACTATTATAACTGCTGTAAGTGTTTTGTGATTTGGTATACGTGTTGAAGTTATAAATTTATTGTAAGAAAAACTTTCAATATATACTAAATAATTATAGGTCTTACTTTATTTGTAAAAATAAAAACGTAAGCAACATTATTCGTCGTAGAATTTTAAGGTAGTAATATAAAAGACTTACCTATTTTAGCGGATAAGCAGATTGCTTTGTCAGCAGTGTTTCGGGTCTAGTGCAATTATAGATTACAAGTTAAGAGGCATAACAACATAGTCCTCTAAAATGACAACGCATGAGTGTTATCAAGGATGTTGCATGATAATGTATTATCCATAGTGCGATTTTTTTACAGGTTTGGGTTATTACCAGGTGCTATACAGCTGTAGTATTACCCAAGCCTACCAAGATTTATTTTCTATCGAGAATTTTTTCAAATTTTGCTCCCTACACCCACTTCATCACACACCACACTATCTTCTAAGAATATTCTTCTCTCGGTAGAGACAACAATTGAAGATTATTCTTAGAAGATAGTGCTGCAGTCCGTAGTGCTGGTTTGTCATTATAACTAAATAAAAAATCATGATATTTTTATGCACTTACATCATGAAACCAAACCAATCGATGGGTTTTTGGATTTGCCTTCACCGTACATTCGAAATAAACATCGTCGCCTTCCTTTATCTCGTCCGGATTTAAATTGGATCCCATTTTGAGATCCACTACTGGTACATCTGTAGAAGAAATAGCAATATTATTATACATTACATTTCAGAGAATATGAGAAACTAACAGATGTGAAGAGTGGGCGGCGAAGTTGAAGTCTCAATGGACAGAAATACGCAACGTACGTACGAAAGACAGCGTTCGAATGTCCGAGAGCGAGATAGTTTTTTTTTATAACACCATGGTGACAAGTAAGCATTTTATATCAAAAGTACAAATTAGTACTAATCATAAAAAAATGTCTCTACCATGAATGTACATATCTGTATAATGTAATTTAATGTACAAGAAATTATTTATATTTCAAGAGTCACAGTCCGTTCTATTTTGAAATAAATATTCAATAACGGAGTATTATAAAAAATCCTTGTAATAAAGAGGTATTAAATTCTATATAGTTTCCAATTTAAACAGACAAGGTATAAAATCAACACATTATTTGTCAAAGAAAAATAACATAGTATTATATTAGCGCTGGTACAGACTTGTTAAAGTATCCATTATTCACATATTCGGCGTAGACCTTCTGTAAAAGATTAATTCCACTAATTTAAACCTAATTTTATAGCAATCATATAATTCTTTTCGGCGATTACAATGAAATTAGATTATAAAAGACGTAATTATAGCATGACCTTTGGCTATTGAGGCTACTCGAGTAACTGAATCAGTTAAGGAAAATTCTTTAACAGTATTTCTATTATGGTAAGTCTTCAACCTAATTCATATATCAGATAAGCCCGGCGTAACGGTAACATTGAAATATCTGACCACAAGTTAGGTCCTAAAGGTATTACAAACCGAAACACTATATTCGTGTATACAAGGGTATTACATAGTTTCAAATCCGGAAACAAGCGTATTTTTAGCTAATATAATGCTATTGGCCGCAGTTTCACAGAACCATAAAGACACTGCCTATCACCAGTGAGTGCAGAAGACATTCCAATCCCACGGAAGGAATTATGAATCGGCCGAAGGCCAACTTCTGTCTGATGAATACGACTTCAGTCTGAGAACACCGCTAAATTCAATTTTGTACATTTATCATACTTTGAAGTAAATATATCATTATTAGCTATTCAAAGAGGGAACGCTGCCAGTATCTTCGGAACTTTGCATAAAGGGACCCCTTTTAATAATATATTTTAGTTATTGTATTATATTTTTTAAGCTTTTTAATTTTAGGTTGTAGTTGTATAATTAAGTTATGTAAATGATATAATTAGTTTAGATTAGTTTATTGTTATCTATAATTTATTGTACAATGTACAATAAATTATAGACAACATGGAACAGACAACTAGATGCATTATTAAATTATATATTAGCAATCAATACTTATAAAAGCTAATTAGCTGATCGCAGATAGACAAGGAAAAAAGAAAAGAAAAAAATGAAATAAAATAATCAGAGATCCAGAAACAAAAACTGATTTTTTAATCTATTCTAAAGCGATTGGCTGCAGCTTTACAGAACAATAAGGAGTGAGTGCAGAGGGAATTCCAAATCGGCGGAAGGACTTATGGAGTGGCTAAAGGCAAACTCCTGCTGGACGGATACGACTTTAGTCTAGGGCGCCCCTAGGGGTTCGAATCTCGACTTAGGCTGTTGTTTGTTTCTTGGATGAATTGGTTGGAGAGATAGAAACTTAATGACATAAAATAAAATAAAATCTGTAAAACAAAACTATAATTCGATGTATATTTAGTATAGTGCCATTTATTGGCGTTGTATACTTATATATCACAATATTATTCTAATGACATATTCACTGTTTAAACTATTGTATATTTCTATTAGACTCCGTTTTCCGCATTTAGCCTCTCATTGGGCCTCTCATTTCAGTTATTTAAACTCTATAAATTCAAATTCAATTCAATATATCTTTATTCACGTAGGTCTATTACAGACTCTTATGATATGTCTAATCTACAGTCAGCTCGGAATGATTTCGAGATGAGAAGAACTGACAAGAGACTCAGCTCGTATTCTTTTCAAATTAATATTATACATGTTTACAATAATACAGATTAATTTCTAAATTCAAATTTGGGAGAATAGAGTGACTACCACCAGCATATGCTATACTCAAATAGATCGGCTTTTTGTGCTTGCAAAACATACTAAGTCAGTTTCCTAGTATATTTTAATAAACTACATATAATTACCACAAAAGACCTGTCAAGCATTACCATATGATTCTCAGAAGCTTACTACGTTAAAATGGCAACAAAAATTCTTGCGAGTTCAAATTCTAAATATTGCCAGAAACACCGCTGCAGGTGTCCTAACAAATCAACATTTGGACTTCGCATTTTCACGATACCTGGCATCAAATTCGCTTGGAAGCTGCCGTAGTGATCGACAGATCGATATGAATGTAGAGAATTTTTGGCACAGCAGAATTTAAATAACTCTTTGTGGAGTTTACGTATTTCAACCAGGATTTGCGAAAGGCTTTTATGGCGTTTTTATTTCGTTAGGACCGAATATATAAAATTAAAGTGACCGTTTCTGTAATTCAAGATTAACAGTTTTCACTAAATGTATATGAAAGTATATACGGTACTTACATGAAAAAGTAATTTTAAAATTTTTGTCTCTCTGTTTATTCTTGCTAATTTCTGAAACGGCCGTACTGATTTCGATGGGCCTTTCACTCGGGGATAGTTAATGTCATAAGAAGTAACTTAGGCTAATTTTATTTTGGTATTTTTTTTAATTCCACGCAAATAAATCAATAGGTAACTGCTAGTTAAAATAAAATATACTTTATGTTCCTTTTAAAGGACTAGGCGTAGACATTTAGTCTTCTAGCGCACGCAGACTTCTATCACAAAATCAAATTCATTCATTCAATCAAGTCGTAAGTAACAGGTAGTCATAAATAATAATAATAACTCAGAATAATTCATACAAAGTCATCTAGTCCCAAGCTAAGCAAAGCCTGTGGTAAGAGTACCAGACAATAGACAAAAATAGGCAGATATTTTTTCTTAAATACACATAACATATATGGAAAACATCCAGACCTATACAAACAATTATACTCATAATATAAATATTTACACCGTGAGGAACCAAACCTCCGGATCGGAAGTATGGCGGTCTGCTAAACCGCTAGACCACTGAGGCCGTCAAAATAAAAATAAAGTAAATAATACAACTTACAGTGTACGTTGAGTCTCCATTTATCCTCGATGGCTGAGTCTGGTATGAATTTATTTTCAGATCTGCATGTCAAATATTTACCATCATCTTCTACACTCGGAACCAGACTCAGCACGCTTAACGTTTCATTATTCTCAGAGAACTGCAAAGAAATAAACAATATAAATCCTTTAAATATGGAAGGACATGCTCCTTTAACGGCAAATTATTAACAAAATAAGGATTTCAATATATTAAATATGAAAAACAGATACTTTTAGATTAGCTACCTCCTAACGTTGAAAAAGTGACAGAAAGCCGCACACTGGTATGGCCATATCCAAAGACGCGAAGACGACTACATGGTTAAAAAAGTGCTCAAGATACCAAACACGACCAGAGGCAGAGGAAGGTCACGCGGCAATTGGTGGAACAATATTATGAAGCAGGTGGCCAACCTTACTACTCAGACAACCTAGAACAGAGTTATCTGGGGCAGATAGATGTAAAGGGGGTCTCCCTTGGTAAACTAGGAACATGGGTTGGATAGAGAGAGTACTAAAACAAGGTAAAAAAATTGACCTTATAAAGCACATGGCCTTCCACTGGACATCTTATGCTATTTAAGGATTTAGATATTTCCTATATAATTAAGGATTAAGCTATTATTAATTAAATTATTATTAAAATGTTTTATTTGATAATCAAAACCTCATAACATCTCTATTAAATCACAAACTGTCTTTTCGTTATTAGTTAAGAAAAACAATACTCCGCGTCTTAATTAACGATTTTTAACCGTCACCCGGGAACCATCTATTATGGGATCTGTAGCATCTCCAAACAATTGATAATTACGACCAGAAATAAAAAAAATATGAGCAAACAATGGACGACATTATTATGCGACCCGCAAAACTGTACTGAAAAGAATCTATTAATTAGAACACAATGGAAACGATCCTGAATGAGGTTTCTCTTATTTCATGAAGCTGACCCTGTTTTGTGTAACCTACATTAAAATAGACCGGATGTTCATTATTACGTTTCAAATTTAGCCTACTTTTAATGTAATTGGAATGCTAAATAAGCTCACCTTTTTTATAGCACAAACAAGCTTGGGTCTCACCTGATGGTAAGTGATTGCCGCGGCCCATGAGTATCTATAACTCCAAAATTGCAAGTGCGTTGTCGACCTTTTACTAAGGAAGAAGCTTTTCTTGAACGTTTAATTTCGGTTCAGAAATACCATTGCTCGAAAGAAATTCCACAATGTCTTGTGCGTGTCAAAAAGTTTCTAGACCGCACGGTGGAAGATCGTGATCATCAAGATGATCAGGATGGTATTTTAGTTTTTCTGGCGGGTGGTACGGTGGTAAAATTCAGCAGCTGGTATTAATCCGAACAATCAATGACAGCTCAGTCAAAATAACGTGTCAAAAATTACGTGTCAAGTTGTTTGTCCGCGATGGATTCCTAAACTACTGAACTGATTGCAAATTTGTATTGCATATTGTGTGTAATTGGATCCAACTTGAAAGATAGGACAATTTATTTAATATAACATGAACCTAAAGAAGCAACGTGTAGATTTATGTAATATCTATAGATTTAGTAAAATATGTCATACATTTTTGGCCATTCGTTTCAACTGCCTGTTGTTCTTCCACCATGTCACAGACGCTTCCGGCCGGGAGCCCGTCGTCTTGCATTCCACCTCGTACCTCTTGTCAGCGGATACTTGCTTCTCCTTTGCTAATATTGTCACAGTTATTGGTTTTACTGGAACAAAATTTATTATTATATGTATGTTGTTTGAGAAATTAGAATTAATTATATGCTATTGTAAACTGGTGACTGTCACATATATGTATATATCCCTGGACAATTCACATAACGGCTTCTTGTACCAATCTAAACAGAGTTTATGTTTTTGGAATTGCATACACATTGCATATACATAAAAAACAGACAGACAGACAGTTCGTTACAAGCAATAATACTCATGAATGCACATGTATGTACCGACCGTGAGGAATCAAACCCGCGTCCATCAGAAGTAAAATGGTGTGTTAAACCTATAGACTACCATGGGCGTCATATATAAACAGCAATATAGATATCACGTTATCATATATACTGTGTGTAACTACTGTATACTATGTGTAACCATTCCGGAGCATTAACATATAATGCCGAATGTAATATCATGTATATATTAAAAAAAAAGTATCTATGTATATTATTAGTTGTCTAGTATCCATAACACAAGCTCTGCTTAGCGTGGAACTAGATGGCACTGTGTGAATTGTCCTTAGATTTTAAACTATTGTATTTGCTTCTGCTTGATACTGTGTTGTAAAAAGTATATGTATGTGTACTTGATGATCTATCTGTCTCTTAAAATGTTAATTGATGTTAGTTCTCAATAGGTTGTAGGGACTGGACTGTTCTGAGTCTTGATTACTGATGATTTATTTTATTAGTCAAGCAAGTATTCATTTATTTGCATGAACTTTGCTATTTTTTTTCATAAAATTCATAAATAAAAAAAATTCATAAAATTATAATTCCGAACAACATTTATTTAAAAGAGCAACACGCAAGTGTCTTGCAGATTCTTTTGTTACGAGTCTGCGTTCCGAATGAGTTAGTAGAATAAAAAATATGACTATTCGAAAGTGATTATATTAAGTTTATTTGAATGAAATATATTTCTATTTCTATTACATTACAGTAATAAAGGAAAAGTAGACATCGTTAATATTTTATAAAGATTCAAGCAACAAAATTAAATATAACTTTTAATTGTTCCTCGTAATGTCTATAAGTATTTAAATATTTTCAGAAACAGTTACCCTAGATGTTAACTTGGGAAAACTTTCCTATACACATCAGAAATTAATTTTCTTAACTGTTTTGTAGCGAAGAACTAGGCTTTATTTTCGATGTACTTAGAGATGTTATATAAACTTTCATGCTTTGCTCTGACTACTGAACGACCGAGTTTTGCTTGAATTTTTTAAATAATTGTCTTTTCTCGAATAAGATTTGAATGTAATATGACATTATACTATAGAAATGATTTATTTTTGAATGAAATTGCTTTTTCAATTTGAAATTTCTTTTATGAATGGTTTTATTATCTTTACATAGTATAAAATGAAGTCGCTTCCGTTGTTTGTTCGCTTGGATCTTGTAATCTACGCAACAGATTTTAATGCAGTTTTCAGCAATAGATAGAGTGATTCAAGAGGAAGGTTTGTATGTATAATAGATGTACTCATGCAAAGCTGGGGCGGGTAGTTAGTTTCTAATATAAAAGAAAGCTCATGAAAAAATCGTGAAAGAAGAGATATACAGTGAAACATTATCAAATCTGGGAGTTTTCTATATACTATTTCATATTATGTAAGTATTTACAAAAAAATATATCTATATATTTATATCAGTGGTCTTAGTATCCATAACATAAGATCCGCTTAGCTTAGGACAAGATGGCGTTGTGTGAATTGTCCAGGAATATTGTTATTGCTGTACCCGCGACATCGTCTGCGTGGAATTTTACATCATTACTTTATTTTTCTAAAATTAAATTAGCCTAACTTACTCCTTATTACATCAGCTACCTGCCAATAAAAGTCCCATCAAAATCGGTCCAGCCATTTCAGAGATTAGCCGGAACAAACAGACAGGCAGACAGAACAGGTAAAATATGTTATTTTGGTGTGTGTACCGTATTTATATTCATATGCATGTAGTAAAAAACGGTTATTTCAATATTACAAACAAACACTCCAATTTTATTTATATGTATAGATAATTATTCTAATATTACTTACAATTGATATCTAAGATAAGGACTTTGGTTTCTGGCGGTGCTAAATTCGTGTTGGAAGCTTGGCAGACCAGTCTCGCGTTGAAATGCTGTCTACCAACATTGGGGAAGGTCAGTGTGTTAACGGTGATACCATCAGGCCGCTGTTCATACGAGTCATCAATGACTGTGTTCTCGAGATACCACGTGACTCGGGGTCTAGGTTTACCTGTAGAAAAAAATATCTTTAAACATACACGTATAAGCTAGGGGTGATATCCAAGTATTATAAATGCGAAATTTCATTGGATATAGAAATATTACTTAGGAATGAAGGTGTTACATATGAATGTGGATGGTTATAAGGGCAGAGGAAGGCCGAAAAAGAGATGGATGGACTGTGTGAAAGATGATATGGTAAGAAAGGAAGTAAATAACGAGATGACTGCGAACAGGGATGAATGGAAGAGAAAAACATGTTACGACGACCACAAATAACCCATTTAAAAAGGAAGAAGCAGATGATTATGATAGGAATATTCAAATTCAAATTCAAATTCAAAAATCATTTATTCATGTAGGGCATTTTAGCCGCTTATGAACGTCAAGTTTTTACATTATAAATTTTTTTCCCTACCGTCCAGTTCGGTATATAGATCCAATTGAGAAGAATTGGCAAGAAACTCAATTGAATTACTTTTTTTTTAAATCCAGTTTATTTACAATGCATAGGTATTTATATAGGCGTCTATGTCTAACATTAAATGAAAATCCCGAACATGAAAACTATTGCCATGCACGCTCGTCATTCAAGTAATCGTTTAGTGAGTAATAGGCCTTGTTGAGTAAATATGATTGAACAGATGTTTTGAATTTATTTAAGGGTAATTCCAATATATCCTTTAGTATCTTATTGTAAAATAAGATATTATTTAATATTTAAAATTTATTGAACAATAAATTTTGGTACAAAAAACGGACTTAATGCTATAGGTAAAATAAATAGGTATTTTTTTTATTTATTATCTTTATTTTTTAATGTACTTTATAACATTTACTATATTCGAATTTTAATTGATTAAATTTGTTAAAAAAATTTTACTAAAAATAAACTACTTATAATGATCTAATAGTAATAATAATTATTTTATTTTCATCAAATATCTTAATAACCTGTATTATAGATATAAGTTCTCTCCTTTTACAATTCACAATTATTGAAATTACAATTGACTGAAAATACAAAAAAATATTCATTTTACCAAAACTAAACAAGACACACACATCGTTATACTGCGATTTTTCTAATTTAGCATATGTACTAAATTAGAAAAATCGCAGCAAAACGATGTATGAGTATGATTTTGTACACTCTGTATTAAATAATAATATAATAAATGTACAGTTTAATACAAGCAACACTGCGTGTAGTTACTAGTTTTACAATATCCCATTACAATTAGCGTTCTCATATTACACAAGGACTATTAAAATAATTGATAGCCGTTATTATTTTAATGGAAAAAACACTATATGGTCTGTGTTTAAAAAGTATTCAGGTATACACGTTTGACACCTGAAATATTTCATTTATAACGTTAGAATACAATACAAGTTCACTAATGATATAGGAGGACTATATCGATATTTCCACTCGATTACGATTAAAGCTTTTGGTAAAACTTTTAAATAAGTCATTAGTATAAAAATCAAAATGTATAATAAACTAACTGTGCAAATAAGAGAATTCCTAAAACAAGTCAAAACTGAAATAAGATCTTTTTTTGAAAAACATCCTTTTTATAATATTACCGAGTATGTAGACCTAAATATAATTTTATCGTAATTATGACTACGAAACATTATTAGTTATATTGTGTACGTATTTAATTCATGTAATTTTATTTATTAAAGTAATTTTAATTGGATTGAATTTATAGAAATACTAGCGGTCCCGGCAAACGTTGTTTTGCCTTAAAATAAAAAAAAAATTTAGGGGTGGACTACTAACATTTAGGGGGATGAAAAATAGATGCTGGCCGATTCTCAGACCTACTCAATATGCTCACAAAATTTCATGAGAATTGGTCAAGCCGTTTCGGAGGAGTATGGGAACGAATACTGTGACACTAGAATTTTATATATAAGATGAGTTACTGTATATTATAACTTGCCATATATGTAAAGAAGTTTTTTTACATTGGTTAATAAATGAAATATGAATATGAATAAAGCGATAGTGAGAATCGATTCAAAACATCTGTCAAATCATATTTACTGAGCAAAGCCTATTACTCACTAAACGATTAGTTGAATGACGAGCGTGCATGGCAATAGTTGTTCATGCACGGGATTTTTATGTAATGTTATACATAGACACTTGTAAATAAACTGTCTTAAAAAAAAAGAAATTCAGTTGAGTATCTTGCCAGTTCTTCTCAATTGATATGTAAAAAAGTATAATACAAACTAATCGATGTGAATGATACTTGGAAATGTATACGTTCGTATGTTTAAATGGTAAATGAAATTTTCATCGGACTGTTTGACAGTCTGAAGGAGAAACTTAATTTTAATGATATATTTTTATTTTACGATACTTTAGATACATTGTTTTCAATGTATAGGTTTTGCATATATATATATATTATAAAAATCTATAAAAAATACTTCCATTAAGAGCACAAATGAGAGCGTCAAGAAAACAGGAATATTCGCTATTAACAGATGTCGTACAAAATCTGGTACTCGGTCACCAATTTATAGAATTATTAAAGCATATAGTGATATGTTCACTAATATAGATATATCTGCCACTAGACCATCATTATTTAAAAAGATGGTTGGTCGGACTGTTAAACACTTAACATAATACATATTAATTAATTTATATTCGCAATTCCTTTTTTTATTATTTTATATAATTTCAAGCTTTCTTCATATTAAATATGAATTGAATTCAAATAGGTTGCATTTTAAGTCGATATTTGTAACTTTGTATAAAATTCACCACTACTCTAAACAAATTTGCATGATTATATATGTAATTATTGTCTTAAAACTGTGACGTCGTTGGTGATACATTTATCTTTCATCTCATCACATACTGTATATATATATAATATTGAATTACTGTTTGTTAGTCCTAAATAAATTAAAAAAAAAATAGACAATAAGTTTCAAAAAATTAAAAATTAAATGTTACAATACCTCCTTCGACTTCGCAGCTGAGCATAACATTGGAGCCCTCGTTGTAAGGCTCGACTAACTTCGTTCTGTCTCTTCTCAGTGAGTCGTATATCGTAGGACGGCTAGGCGGAACTGAAATATATTGTACTGTTAAAGCAAACATATAATATACAACAACAACATATAATATAAAATATATCTCGCTGAAACTTAAAAACGGCTTGACTTTAAACCATACGTACTGTACCGACAATTTTGACCGTAAGTTTTGTTAAATATCACATCCATAAGTACTCAGTATTAATAAGAATTGTTCGCTACATGTAAGTTTTAGTTAATCATAAGAAATATTTTTTTTAATATAGAACATAGATTTTAATAGATATTGTTTGTGTTTGACATACTAGAGGATATACAAAATTGTAATTATATCTTAAATTGTTTTATTTTTTACAATTTCAGTATTTGTTATAGATGAATATGCAGTAATGTAGATATATTTATATAGAATCGCAGATTTATCACATACAAAATTTAGAATAATTATAAGTTCTTACAGGATCAGGGGTATGACAGCTTAGTCCGGAATAGCAACACATGAGTAGTATTGCGGATATCACATGATAGCGTGATGTCCATAATTCTGTTGATGATGATGCTATTACTTTAAAAATATATTAAAATCTTATACTCACTTATAACAGTAAAATTAACCCTCAAATTTCTCGTCGGCGAGTTCTTGAAGTCTACCCTGCATCTGTAAACTCCAGCGTCCATGGCCACGACATTGTCCACCATGAGGACCGCTGGTGTAGCACCACCACGGAAGAATGCTCTGCTCCCGAATACTAGTGGTGATGACCAGAGTTTGGGCTGTGACATTGAGCGTCCTCGGATATCGTAGCTATAGAAAATTACAAAAATTTAGCATAAATTGTACAAGTTAGGAAAATAAAAAATCGACTGTGTACGAAATATTGAATCCTTGTCTAATATTTCTGAATTAATTAACATCATCAGGCAGGTCGTATGATTGACTACCTTTATTATATAAAAGAAAAAATCTGATTATTCAGAATAGTTATATATATATATAGACGCAGTGTGGGAAGGCCTCAAGCAAGATGGACCAACGATCCGATCAAGATCGCTGGAAGGCGATGGATGCGAGAAACGCAGGAGCGATCATCGTGGAGATCTTTGGGGGAGGCCTTTGAACAGCAGTGGACGTCTTCCGGCCTGAGGTGATGATGATGATGATGATGAAGATTAGTTAGTTAGTTGATTTTATCAAAAATACCACCTTTATTAATGTAGTGAACCGGGTCTTAACACGAATGATTTTATAGTATATAAGGTATTTAACCTCTCTCGATGTTTCGACTAAAATAAACACCACCGAACTACTTGGATAACTTACTAAAGACTAGGGAAAATGTCCTGGGTTCAATTCTCTGTCAAGCCAAATCAGTAAAAATTTTTTTCTAAATCTGTTGTCGTAATTTTTCGTAACAGGCTGTCCTAATTTGTAGGTCAAGTACTTGACCTGCTTATTTATTGCTTTATAATATTCTTGACCTTGTTAAAGAGCTCTATGCCCGTCTAATACTGGCTACTGACCTACTACTGGATTCAGATCTGTTCTTATTTCCCACTAGTAATTCGCACAAACCTTACGGATTTTTTTAAACTATTTTAATGCTGTTGGAAGCAGTTGGCCTTTATAGCTTCACCGAACGATAGGAGGCGAGTACAGAAGGCACTCCAAACCAAAGGAAGGGCTTATTGAAGGTCAACTCCCGCTTGACGGATACGACTTTATTTTGAGGATAGGGGTTCAAACTTCGATCGAGGCAGTTGTAATTTCTATTCCCGTTGAATTGGACGAGGATCGATCGGAGGAGCGCCTTGCAGGAGTGCCATTATGGTAACAATTTTAATAATAAAAATCCATCTATGTTTGTAACGAGAGAAAACAATTTACATACCTATACAGCGGTTCCCCATCCAAATCTTTGAACCATAGTACCATCACGACGTCGTCTTCAGCGTTAAGAGGCTGAATATCACAGGGCAGTGACGCCTTCTTTCCCAGTACTCCTTGAACGTCAGATGTTGGCACTGTAAAGAAAAAAATAATATTACAATTATGAAAATTAACGTTACAATTATGAATATAATGATAAATTTAGGACAATTAAATCTACTGAAGGGTTATAGTTAGGACTATAATTTTATAACTGTGATTACTGGAAGATAACATGAAGCAGTAGTGTAGATGAAACCAGATATTTGTAAACTCAAATGAGTATATTTATTAATATGTGAACAAAGGTATTGTATTATTAGTATGCGCGTAACTATAATTATGGAAAGACGATGGCTTTTAAAAATAAATAGTGTATTTAAAATGTATAGAAAAATAGATAAAAGAAGAAAGATGGTATTATTTCTATATAAAATTATTTTAAAAGTGATAATTATGAACGTTAATGTTACAATTATGAATCTTAATGTTACAAATTTGAAATTAAATTCAGAAGTTTAAAAATAGAATACAATATTTAATATTACAATACTAAATATAAACAGACAATTGTGACATGTTATAATATAGGAAAATGTTTGTAATAACCCTTACAATTTGGTAGTAGCTTATTAAACTTAGTAGGTACAGTCTCGAGGGTGTAAACATTTCGGTCCACCAAACTTATTAGTTATAATGGTAGTTATTATAACACGGAAACAAATTTTCCTAATAATACCATAGACTCGCCAACGTCCGGTCAGTTTTTATATATGAATATTTAATTTAATATTCCATATTATTATATTTTTTATTTCCATATTATTTTAGTTAGTTTTTAGTAGTTTAGTTTAGTTTATTTTAGTGTAATATTGCTTATTATTAAGTTTACTGCGTAGATTTTTTTATGCTATGACTGATTTCCATCTGTCATGGAGACCCGCCCGTTCCAGGGGTAATGAACTTTTCTACAACGGCGCTGACAACCAAGTATACGACCCATGTGATAGCAAAGGGTAATCGTAGCTGTCTGCCGGACTTCTTCCAACTATAATCCCGAGCTGTACCTGCCGGAGCCACTTGTATGCACGAGCATCTTTTTTAGCAGCTCCGACGGCGGAGACCCAAAAGACGGACAACCGTGGAACCGCGCTCCTTCTTCTAAAGTAGAGTATACTTTAGAAGAAGGAGCGCTGTTCCACGCTCGTACCTTCTTAAGGCTGAGATGTTGAGGTAAGTAGCCCCTCCTTGCGAAAGGAGGGCAAAAATATTCTCATTCACAAATCCTCCTCAGTCTCACCTATTTAAGCCATCCAGCTTGTCTTGTAAGCTGTGTTTCGGTTGTACAGTTAGATTAGACAGTGATATTAAAGGATACGAGGTTATCTCAGTCCAGTAACGTTTCCAGTAGCGGTATACAGGTTTCTGCACTGATTATTTGTGGTCTCACACATGCTAATGATAGCGGAATTAAAAAAAATCTTAATGTAAGTAATGAAATGGACTTCCGCAAAATCGTAATCATTACATAGTGTAAAATAAAGTCGCTGTCGCCATCTGTCCGTCCCTATGTATGCTTAAATCTTTAAAACTACGCAACGGATTTTGAAGCAGTTTTTTTTAATAGATAGAGTGATTCTATAGGAAGGTTTATATGTATAATGCATGTACACCCGTGCGAAGCCGGGCGAGTAGCTAGTAATATTATAAACATAAAAGTTTGTGAGTTTTTTTGAAAAGTTCGCAAAAACTACTGAACGGATTTTGATGAAACTTTACAGTGATATAGTTTATGAGTCAGAATAACACAGGCTATATTTTTTATTGAAATTCAACTGCGAGCACAGCTAGTATCACATAATTCGATAATATAACAAATAAATCACGCAGTGCCCTAGATCTCATGTAAAATAATTGAAAGCCTCAAATAAACGGAGTTAAACACAAAACTCATTAGTGTACGGACGTCGGGTGGGCTTCCTGTACGGTATGTTGTAGTGACCTACATTTGACCCGATTTGAGCATTACAAACATACATACGTGTCACATTGAAAATATTAATGGTCTACTAATACAGAATAATGTAAAAAATTATAAAAAAAATATCTTTCTTACTAATATTATAAACGCGAAAATTTGTGAGTATGGTTAGATGTTTTTTACTCTTTCACGCAAAAACTACTGAACGGATTTTTATGAAACTTTATAATACATACATACATTCATACTATATAGTAATATAGCTTATATATCAGAATTACACATGGGCTATAAATTTCATGTGGATAAAATCACGAGCACCGTTAGTAATCATATAATTTAAAAGTTACAATATTCAAAGTTTGCTTACAAAAAAAATTAAAGACTAAACTTCATCGTAAGTAGTGTGTAAGTATTTTAAGAAAGGTTTTACATAGGAATGTGGATTGTTATAAGGGCAGAGGAAGACCGAAAAAGAGATGGATGGACTGTGTGAAAGATGATATTGTAAGAAACGGAGTAAATAACGAGATGACTGTAAGCAGGGATAAATGAAGAGAAAAGCATATTACGCCGACCACAAATAAATAGGATAAGGAAGATGATGATGATGATGATGATAGTGATAATGAAAGACTAAACTTCATACTTTCATTATTTTTAGAAGTTATTTTTATTAATGAAATTTTAATATTCGTAAACAGAATTGAGTTAATTATTCATAAATCCACTGAATGTAACTGGAACAAATATTCCGACAGAGCGTCACGTCAATGGCAACATAAAAAGCAACGTTGAAATATTGGAAAATAATGAACGTCAGAACGGTACGTTTGTACGATTTTTATAAATATATAACCCAATAAACGTCAATCGTGAACTTGTTGTCGTTTCCGAACAGATGCTTATGATTAATGGGAAGCCTCTCTTTAATTATTTATTGTCTGTAGTTCATTCACAGACTATACAGGGTAATATACTTTTTTTTTTTATTTGACGCCGTCATCTACAAGTAATATAACAATAATAACAACCTTGAATAATTCACACAGCGCCATCTAGCCTCAAGCTAAGCAGAGCTTGTGGGACTAAACAACTGTTTTTTATTTGTATAGTATAGAGTATTTAATTGAATTTATGCTAGTTAGTAGTTTGTATTGACACACTTCATCTTGAAAATGTAAAGTAACAATTATTTTATCTAAAAGAGCAATACCCAAGTTTCTTCCTCATTCTTCTTGTGATGATAAAGCTTTCCGAATGAGCGGTAGATTAATAAAAATGTGATGACTATTCAAAAGTATAGAAGCACTTTTGAATAGTCATTAGTAAGTTTGTTTGAATAAATTATTTTGTATTCTATTCTATTCTAAAAATTACATTAATTTCTCAAGATATGGAAACTTTTCAATACAACCTGATAGATCGCGTTTGGAAGTTTTAGAAAAAAAAAATTAATCTGTAATCAGATTCTGGGGAGCAATTGCGAAGTTTCCAACGTCACAATCTTAACTTTACGAATTGAATTACAATCCTCCATCGAGGGGTTTTAAAATGATTACATTCTGCTGGAGTAATCAATGGGAAAGTCAGCCGATGTTACCCTTTGGAAAATTTCCAATGGTAAATACGGTTTGGGGAGAAAGTTGTAATTTGTCTTTGTTTGGCCTTAGTTGGTGGTCTCTCCGACCGTATGAAATATTTTAGGTTGAGTGTATATTTTTTATATTTGTAATAACAAAAACGGTACAATTTTTTTTTTAGTAACTCTCTTACGGGATAGGTATACGTCTAATGAAATATTTTAGGTTGAGTGTACGTCGTTTTAACCAAATATGTATTACAGGTTGAGTGTACGTTTTTTAAATTTGGAATAACAAAAACGGTATAATTTTTCTTTTAGTAACTCTCTTACGGGATAGGTATACGTCTAATGAAATATTTTAGTTAGGTTTACGTTTTTTAAATTTGGAACAATAAAGGAGGTATAATTCTTCTTCCAACAAACTCTCTTACGGGGTAGATTATACGTCTAATGAAATATTTTAGGTTGAGTGTACGTCTTTTTAAATTCGGAATAATAAAGATGGTATGATTTTTCTTTTAGTAACTCTCTTACGGGATAGGTATACGTCTAATGAAATATTTTAGGTTGAGTGTACGTCTTTTTAAATTTGGAACAATAAAGAAGGTATAATTTTTCTTCCAACAAACTCTCTTATGGGATAGGTATACGTCAAATGAAATATTTTAGGTTGAGTGTACGTCTTTTAGATTTGGAATAACAAATACGGTATAATTGTTCTTTTAGTAACTCTCTTACGAGATATGTTTTCTAACAACATATACATAATATATGTCCAATTCATACAACATTATTTATGGTTACCATGCAAGTTACAAGGTACTATATTTTGTAAATACATACCTAATATACATAGAAGACAGCTAATTTAATACTAATGTTCATACTTATGAATACAAGCCTTTACATTATTCGAGGAATCGAATCCGTGACTATCGGAAGTAAAGCAGTGTGCTATATCGCTGCCATAACGCGTTGTGAATATTTATTTATAGTAACTTAATTATTGAATGTCAAAACAACAGATATATATGTATATATACATATATATGTCTCTCTATATACAACAATTTATGTGTCTGTTTGTAATTTCAAATTAACAGTTTTTTACTAAATGAAGATGAAAGTGTTGACGATTTATCAAAACATTAATTTTAAATATTTTTGTCTGTCTATCTGTTCTTGCTAATGTCCGAAACGGATGGACTTTCACTCGCAGATAGCTAATGTTATAAGGAGTAACTTAGACTATCTTTATTTATTAAAGAAGAAATTGTATTTATCCACACGGACGTAGCCGCGGGATACTGCTAGCCACTACATAGTATATAACGTTTCTATTGCTGTCTGTCCGTCCCTATGCATGCTTAAATCTTTAAAACTACGCAACGGATTTTGAAGCGGTTTTTTCAATAGATAGAGTAATTCAAGAGGAAGGTTTATATATATATATTA